GATGGCTGTAGCGCCGTCGACGTAAGGAAATATGCGCTGCCATACCAGGCAATGTCCGAGATACTCTTGAATTGATCGGTGATCTTGGGAATAGCCACGCCAATGATGGTCTGATCCAGGGCCACCAAGAAGACGGCCAGGTAGAGAGCAAGAATAATGACAACCACCTTGCCTAGAGGGGGATATTCTTGCTCCGTTGGTGTCGGTACATCCTCTTTGATATCCTTGATGTCCTTCTCTGGTGCCGTTTCGACATCTGTTACACTGCTGGCGGCCGTCATTGTCGAGATGCTTTGCTGAAGATCAAAATGGGAATCTGGTATCGAAATTTTTGATTGAAGGTAAAGTTCCGAGGCCTGAGCGCACCAGGCTAGAATTAGGGGGGTATGAAAGGAATGGTCGTAGGCAGTGCTAATTAGAAGGTATAGCACACTATCCACACACTGTTTCTCCTTCTCGTAAACATTCAAACCACGCGACAAGGGGAACCATTATTATATGATCTATGACGACGGTTCCTTTTTTTTTTTCTACGAGATCGGACATCGGCGTGTCTTCTGGCCGATTTACGTTTATTTTCCATTGCGACACATGGACGACGGGTGCGGCTGGCGCAGTAGCGTGAAGCAAATACGAGTCGTGGATTCTCAAGATGGACCAATCAGCGAGCTCGAAGGCGTTCGATTAGCCTCAGCGCGTCAATGCTCCGGTGCAAGTGGGCAATCCGGAAGCAAGTGCGAGTTGCCCTTTTCGGATCCCTAGTGAGGATGAGTCACATAAGCACGGGGTCCCGTCTCTGACCTTATTAGCGGTGCATGCAACCATTTAGCCTTGACACCTGAGACAAGTACTAATAGGCTGCAAGGCCGCGATTTTCCCCCGTCACCCCGTCTTGCTCGGCGTCTCGGAGGATTTCCGGAGATAAGAGTCGGGCGAATTCCATGGAAACGGGCGAAAAAGTCGGTCGAAGCACCCTGAAACTGGGTCGACAAGACCCTGTGATTCGTTCTGCAAAATATGTAAATCCCGTGAGTCGGTCAAATTTATCGGACCAAGGTCCCAATACATGCTCGGGCATCCCGCTACGGTATAGTTGCTCCGTTTACTCTTTACGGTCTGACGGTCCATGGCACACACCTGTCATAGTAGTCATACTTTATCATCCTGAGTAACTTAACTTAGTACGGTACCTTCGTATGTGTATCAACTAAGGCATCTACATCACAGCCAAGAGACACGTATCAGATCTCACCAGGCCGGTAGCTGCGCCAGGTCTTGAACCCAACCTGCTCATACCATCCATCCAAGGCCACCCAATCTACAAAGACACCCTCGATACCGCGCTGCTTCATATTCTCAATCGCGTGACAGATCATTGCCAATCCAATCCCAGACTTGCGGTGAGATGCATCAATGCCCACGCAGCCGATTAAACCGGTCTGAGGACCGCAAATCTGCGGGAAGGCCCAGACTTTGTTTAATGCTGGAACGGGGGGCAGCATCAGGGTCCATCCGACTTGCTGCCCTTGAGAATCAAAGGCAGTCATCACACAATCGGGATAGTCTTTAGGATGAAGTGTGACGTAAGCTTCAACCCAACCCTATTATTGAACATTGGCATTGTTAGCTCGGACATTCTTTCGCTCGGCGGGTACTATGCTCGTGTTCGTACGGTTTTATCCGAGAAATTCCTTCTCTGCCCAACCAAGCATGCCTCGTAGTGCTCCGGTCGCAGAGGTGCAAAACGGAACCCTCCTTGTTGCGCGCGCGTGATATACTTCTCTGGGGCCTGGAAATTCCGAATGTCCTGGTATAAGTCAACTGACCTCGCACCGGGCGGGTTGAGTCGGAATCCACGATGGACGAAGAACTCTGGCACCGTTTCTGGAAGCTCCCGGGGTATTCCCGGCCAGAATCGTGGAAATGAGCTACCAAGCTTCAATTGAACTATGTCAAACTGCGTTCGGAAGTACGCGCGCGTTTCGGTTAGAAGCGCAGTTCCAATACCTTGGCCCTGATACTGGGGCGCCACGGCCAGTACTGCAAGGTGAACGGGCTTTGGGCCCCCGTGGGCATTAGTATAAGCAAGACAGAATCCGACTAGTTCGGATCCGATACGAGCGACAAAATGATGTGCGTTTTCCCGATCAATCAGAGCCCGCAAATTATCCGTAGGCAAGATGTACGTTGGCAACGCTTCCTTCCACACTGATACGATAGAATCGAAATCTTTCTCTGCATTAAACCGCGCCACATGCATATCAGATTTCTTCGGGTTGGGCAGACCGACTGGCAGAGAACCTTTGGCAGTCTTTGCCCCAAAAATGATGTCAGCAGCCACAGTAAACGCCTCAACCGTTGGCTCGTAGGTAGCAAGATATGTCTGGACGTCTAGCGACTGCAGAAAATCATACGGGGTGCAGGCAGCAATGGCAACTAGCGACCGAGCGTTCTTGGGAAGCAGTTTCCCCAACGACTCTTGGTACGGAGATTCGCGCGCATTGACCGAAACGAAAATCACAGCATCGGCTGCCTTGACGATGCTCCATTGGTCATCACGGAGACCAGTCTCTCCGTATCTGATTTCTGTTATTGATGGATTGTGCCGTCGAAGGGCGTCCAAATAGGCAGTAGCCTCGTATGATCCCTGCCGACCCATGCCCTCCCCGTCGACTGCGCCTCCAGCAGGGGTTTTATCTCCCGGAAAGAGGAGGACAATATTTGCAGTCTTAGAAAGAGGGATAATTGAGGCGCTGTCGCGAACAAGCGTGACTGATTTTTCGTAGGCTTCTTCACAAATTGGCGAGATCCTCTTGTTCAGAATTTCAAGCTCTTCAAGACCCTGTTCACGCAATGCATTATCCCAAGTCAAGAACTTGTCCTTCACATGAGCCACCCGGCGACATGCATCCGCTAGACGTGACGACTCGATAGCACCAGACTGAATTGCATCACAAACTTTCTTGATAGAGCCTACTTGCACCTCGAACGTGTGACAAATCATGATGCTGTCACTGCCAGCTTGCAAGGCGAGCACGGAGCCCTGCTCCGTACCAAACGTGGCACGAATACCGTCCATCTCCAAACAGTCAGTGATGACCATACCGTCGTAGCCCATATCATTCCGCAGGATACCCAGAGCTTTAGGCGACAACGTCGCAGGGAACTTGTCATCAATGCTAGGAAGGGAGATATGGGCAGTCATAACCGTCTCAACCTGCTCCGCCACAGCCCGACGAAATGGTATCAGCTCACAACGTTCAAGCTGATCTCTCGTTTTCGGGATATTTGGCAGCCCGTAGTGCGAGTCTACAGCAGTATCGCCATGCCCGGGGAAATGCTTCACACTCGGAACGATCTTCTTTTCCCGTAGTCCCCGTGCCGTAGCACTGGCAAACCGTCCGACAAATTCTGGATTGTCGCCAGGACTACGAACACCAATGACAGGGTTCAATGGTTCAGAGTTGATGTCGCAGACCGGAGCATAGTTCATGTTGATCCCGAAGAAGTTCAAAATCTCACCGGTGGCTTTTCCGGCCTTGTAGGCCAATTCTGGATTATGTGTAGCGCCTAGGGCCATCGGCCCTGGAACTTGAGGGGCAATTGGAGGCGAGATTCGGGTGACCAGGCCATTTTCCTGGTCTATTCCAATAAATAAAGGCCGAGCATGCCCCGCGGATCGTGCTTCATTTTGCAAAGCAAGTGTCAACGCCTGTTGGTTGACCCGTCAGCACATAAGCATGGGCTGTATGACTCTAAACTTTTGGCGCCTTACCCGTAACTCGGAGGCGGACTGGAAGTTGCGCGAGAAGAGAACGATACCGCCAACGTGAAAGTCATGAATCAAGGTCTTGATCTCTGGGCTCGGCGTATGGCCATGAAAGCCGACCGCGAAGAGCTATATCGTCGTCAGCTATATTGCCGCCTTATGTTTCTAACACTAAGCCTCCTTACCTGGCCAACCTGCTTCTGGAGTTCTGTCGATGCCATTGCGCTGATTGACTGCTGAGATAGCGTGAACAAATTGAGCAAAGACAACTCTGTGGTCGACGATGCCGCGACGGAAGGTTGACGGTCGGCGCGGGGAATAACAGAGCGATAAATAGTGGCACTCCGCGTCCCTGCGGATCCACTTGGCGGATGCAACGTCTCATCGTGGAAGACGCTATAAAGCTACTACAGTAGTGATGGTTTTTAGATTAGATTTAAAACTGAAAGCATTTGATATCAAGTATGAGATGAAATAAGTTTACTTTGGTGAAGACCTTTCCGCAAAATTAAGGCTAAGCTGAGCGTCTTGTACAATAAAGAGCCTGGTTCACCCACTGTTAACCTTATATCTTGAGATGCTTCGACCTATCTCTATTTGGACGCGGCATCTTTCCAACCTTGGAAATATCCCTGGGACTAGGCAAAATGGGGTCAGATATCTATTCCTCCTAGTATAAATGCTCAGTTGTTCTAATCCTCACCAACTCCCACGTACAGTCTTAGTCTCGTTTTGAAAACATCACCTTCACGATCTGAAATGAGCAGAACGTTGAACCCACTTTTAGACCCACGCCGCAACTCCTCGCTAAAGGCTATACAGCTTCAAAATCCATTGAGTGAGGCAGAACTCAAGGAGCAAATGACATATTACCTCAGAGAGGGTCCAGTCAAAAGATTAGCACAACTCTTCCATGAGAACACCTGCCCCGGTGACTGGGACTCTCAACCCACGGCAGCATTGGGGAGAATTCTCCAGACATTCTACGAAGGGGACTTCACCGATTGCCAAGAGCCGATGGCATCAATAATTACCTCAATCATTCGATACCGATGGGAAATGGGGCTCCTGGCCGATCGAATCGTGAATATGTTCGGACTACCCGTACCTGGAGATACTATGTGTATCTTGTGGGATATTGATAGCAAGGTGAGCTATCGGGGAGAAACATCTGCGACTAATTCTTTCACCAGTAGCTGCGAATTGCTTCCTCGCCAACCAGACCAGGGGTCCGAGTTTAGACGACCTTGGCTGTATGTGATAGCGTCACTCTACGAATGGGATGAATCGAAGTGGGAGAAAACGCGCATGATCCAGCATATCAGTGATTTTCTCCAGGTGGTCAAACGATTCAATATTCAATCTAGGGGTCGAGTACTTCCGGTGAGACGAAATGATTGTGTCCCGAGATGAGCATCCTGTGTCTTTCCAATTCGCCTATCTACATGATACCGGATTTGGTTTGCTTTTGGAAAAACTTTATTACTAGATGTAACATTCTAGCTTTAGCTGCCAATCATTTTGTACTATCAATCGACAGTCCTTTGCATATCAACACTTCGTTCTGCACGGGAACCACTTAATGCTTATCGGAGTTGTCCAAGCCGTCAATTCTAGCACGGGCACTCTTGAAGAATTCCGCACGATCCGCTTCCGTGCGACCAGTTTGAGGTACATCTGCCCCCTTCTGCACCGCATCCCTCTGGCCAATCTCATCGGCCCACTTCTTCAGAGCAGGGAACTCGGAGAGATCAATCTCCAGGGCGCTGGGACCGCTGCGGACCCACGAGTAGTTGGCAATATCGGCAATTGTGTACTTTGATCCAGCGAGGTATGGGCTTTCCTTCAGGCGAGATTCCAGGACCGAATAAAGTCGCTTGGTCTCGTCGATGTATCGCTTAATACCGTAGTCGGAGCGAACACCAGCGAAGAGCCGGAAGTGGTTTGCTTGACCTGGACCGAAGGTTAGTATATACCAGGTGTAGATTGTCTAAGAGGTAGCGTGTCATAGCATACCCTGCATGGGACCCAGGCCACCCATCTGGAACATCACCCAAGACAGCTGCTCAATGTATTCGGAAGTGCCGGGCGCGTAACTAATCTTTCGCTCGGCATCGTACTTGTCGGCAAGGTACAGCATAATCGATCCGCTCTCGAAAACCCGCTGCGAGCCATCGGTGAGAGCGGGAATGCGACCATTGGGGTTAATCTTCAGAAACCAACTATATTGAACGGTCGTCAGCAAGGGCCGCTCCTCTGCAATGATTAATTGGTGAAATTTCTTACTCTTCCTTCTGAATATTGGAGCTAATGTCGATCGGCTCGAGCTTGTAGGGCAATCCAAGCTCCTCCAGGGTGATGGAGGCCTTAATTCCATTCGGCGTGGGCCAGGAGTAAAGGGTGATGTTGGACGACATGGTGGAGTAGGAAGCGCGGATGGTCGAGGATAGGCTGGAGAGTCGGGAAGCAGCTTTGAATGAGCTGGTATTTATGGAGCGAGGGAGCATTCCCAAGGTATAACAAAATTACCGTAAACTCTATCGCTCAGGCTCCAAAGCTACAGTACATAAGTATAATCACCTCCCAGCGTCGATTTGTCAGCTTCGAGCTAAACCCCGAGTGATGATAAACCATCTGCCGCAAGATTGGTGATGATGTCATTTCGACCCTCGCAACCCCGAACCCCGCGATTGCCGGCCTTAAGGTTGTAAGCTTATTAACATTCACAGGTGTGAGCTTAGTTAGTTCATTGTTGGATGTTCTGACCAAGCATTCCATGTCGTATCCCCTGAATTTATTGGTTCGGCTTTCGAGTATTTCTTGTCTGCTCCAAGTTCCAACTACTTGTGAACAGACAGATCAGTCTGGGTAGTGTCTTGAAGAGAACAATGCATACCAAATTATTCGTTAGACGTATCCAGGTAATTCCTGCATGTTTATCATCAAACTCATACACAGCCTTGGGCAGTGCCTCGCAAGGCTCACAAATTTGGAGCTGAACTAGTAACCTAGTTGTTTCTGGTTTCCGGGAGTCTGTCATATTCGCAAACATATATATCATGTCGGCCTGTCCAAACTAACATCTCAAAATGCTACCGTACGCGGTGTATCTTGAGCCCACTAAGCGTAGAATACTGCATCATGGGAAAAAATAAATTGATCCTCTCATATTCGACCCGGGTCTGCATGTTTTGGTGGTGATGTTCGAGTTCAGACCCAGAGTCGTTAATAATGCGATAGCTAGGAACACTCTTCTCAAGCCATGACTGGGCTATCGTCTGACCAGCATTATACATTATACATTATTCCAGTATTGAGTTTGGAAACTCATCTCTCATATGTATGAAATACTTCATTAAATTTTTTTCTAAAAAAAAAAAAGAACAATAGGAAGGTGCAAGAGACTGGGTAATAAGTGAGAGAGGTAGGGGGGGTGAAAAAAAAAGAATCGCAAAAAGATAGCAAACCCTGGTTTCGATCCAGGTACCTTCGGGTTATGAGCCCGACGCGCTTCCTATGCGCCAGCTTGCTTGTTATTGAAAAGCTTATCAAATTAATAGTAATATGAGTAAAAACTCTGCAGGGCCATCTGAGTCATCTCAAGGACCCACTTTTGGCGTAGAGATCTGCCCTGATCGGGTCTAGTTTTGCTTTTCAATTTAAGACCGCTTCCATACTTCTTTTTGCGAATGAGTCGTTGTACAAGGAGACTGACCTCACACATCTTGCATAATAGAGGAAAATTGGTGGCATCAGAAAAGAACATATCAAGTTTTACTTCAATGGTTCAAAGGTCTTGTGAGGCAAGAGAGGGCTAAGACATTCACGATTTTGTGGCCCTCGGGTCCTAGTCTCGCTATTTCATCTCCACCTAGTACATCAATGGAACGGAGAAAGGCCAAAGTCAGCCTACAGCTGATCTAAAGGGGTGCAGCACCAGGTATCTAGGTATTTGGAGCCCTCTGCTGTTTTACTTTATTCTTCCTCCCTTCTCCTCTTTCCTCCTTCTCTTCTATTTCTGCTTCCTTTGCATCATCATGCTCCCTTTAATCCTCATCTTCAAGTTCGTCATCAAGGGGAACTTTAACCGCTGCCTTTCTCTTCCATTTGCTACTCTGTGCGTGATGAGCATGTACCTCCATTTTTGGATTCAGAGAACAGCTAGTATCTAGATATGCTACCACTGATGAGATACAGAGATTCCACTTCCAGGTACTCAATCAGACAATCATATATCAGATTTTGGTCCAGCCAGCCTGAAGTTCTGGAAAGGGAATGTGATGTCTTGTTTAGTAGAATGTAGGATTCTCTCGGAATTGAAGTCCCATTGCATCTTGAATGAGCCCGGCATTAACAGCACTGAGGATTTGGCTGATCGGACAAAGGAATACTGAGTAAATTACATCTTTATCTTGCTAGAAGCACTCTAGAACCTCGATTTGATGCAGTGGGCCCTTCGAAGAAAACTTAGAAACCTCCCGTTATCTAACCGCTGATAGGATTTTGATCATCGGAATACAAATAAACAGGTGTAAATCTGCGCGGGGAAGGTACAGTTTCCTCGTTGAGGGGCTCTTTTCTAGAAAGGCTCGCTGCAAGGCCCCCGAAAAATCGGGCGCTATAATCTAGGGGTGCATTGCAGGATCGCAATATTGTAAACTTTCCTCCCAAACTACGGTGAACCAATATGGGGGTCAATTGGGGGATCTCCCTATCTATACGTGGGGGAGTACCTAGCCACATGACTTGACCAGAGAGATGAAGAGGAGTATGTGGTACAAAGAGGTAACTCGGTCATCCAGCGGCTGCTCTCGGGATAGTATTCAAGCCAAGGATTAAACAATTCCGGCCGAAATGTAGATAGCAGCTAACTCTTACCCATACATTGAGCACCATAGGATATACGTTTCACTCGTCTTCGTCATGACTCGCATGGAGCTCACCGGTTAAATAGTAAAAACTAATCTTTCATCGGCTCCCTGGGGAGGACACTATGGATAGACGCATTGGGCAGAAGTGTAACACGTCAATCCCCACATGGGGGCGAAGCCACGAGTTAATGTTGCAATCTCCCGACCGTGCAGGAAGGAGGGGAAATCGAGCAGGCAACGGGGAAAGTCCGCTCGAGCTTCGATGAGGTTGTATTTTCGACGATCCGAGAACGGGCGGCGTAGATACAAAGTACACCCGAACAGTGTATGATCCGACCATCTTGACGCCCAATATCATTTGACCTATCCCCTGCTTGCATTAGAATTCTGGTAAGGTTTTGGTATTAAATTCTGCCGGGCAACACGATACTTGATACGAGCGCGAGGTGGTACAGGGGTCATCTTGCCGTTTATGGTTATTTACTATCTTTAGCGGCCAGGGATGGCGGGGTTATGGGAGATGATGTCCTCGGAACGCCGAGCCGCGTCGGCTTCGATTAGCTGAATGTACCGACCGAAGAAGTTCTCTTACGGGAAAGGCCTGTTTGGTAGGCGTTCCCCGTCTTCTCGGCCAGACTTGAGGCTTTTTTGTCCAGGAGGGAAACCCAGACCCGAAGATAATGTGGGAGATCCCCTAGAAACGATAAAGAGTGGACCTGGACGGCGCCGATTAGCGTCGGGAAGCAAGTCAAAATTCGTGGATGCGTAGCTTAAACATGTTCCACCGCTGGGGCGGACTCCAGTTGCTTTGTTGCCGGTCGCTGGTCGCTCGTCACTCGTTGCTCGGTTCCCGTTTCCGGTCTCCCAGTACGGAGTCCCGTCGTGCAGATTTGTCGGTTGTGAATTTCCAGTTGCTGTAAGGGGTTGGGGGAAAGGGCTAGATCCCCAGATTAATTTCCCCAGCTCTCCACACGAGATAGATCTCATCGTAATTCACGTTGCAACCACATGGAAGGACCCTCCTCGAAGTCATCGCCGGATGCGTTCTTATATTCGCAACTTTCGGCCCGTATGACCTTTGCCCAAAGGATGATGCCGCGCCATTTCCGTCTCGTCGATCACCGCCAGGACCCCAGGATCAAGCCAGGGCCATAAAGGTAAAAACTGGTGGCGCTGACAGGGATTGACCTGGTTAAACCTGATTCAGCGGTAGCCTGCGCTTCTGCCCTTTCTTTCAGGGAGTGTGGCTTGAGTGCGCCCGGCTTTGACCAGCGAATCAGAGCCACGGGCCGCATAGTATTATCGGGTCCAGATCGTAGATGGAGTGCATTTGATACGGGCCCTCGAAAGGGCGAGACAGATGCTTTTCGTTAGTCACATCTTTGCAACGCGAGTATTCGTTCGGCCATGTTTCGGCCATCCCGCGATGATCCCATTTCCGGCGTCGACCCTCTCCTATCTCCTTTCTATCCATTTCCGCAAGCAGAAACCACATGGGGCACCGACCATCTGCTGTACGAAGCAAGGGCAACATGTGGCCTTTTTGGGTCCACAGAAGTCAATAGAGTGGGGATTGGCAATTCATGTACAGTAGTTTGCTCGATTGCAACGGAGTGCAGACTCAGCATGGCGAGGGCTACGGAGTTTCTCCAACTGCCCCAAGCATCCAACCCCAGCGAACATGATCCACTCTGCTATCAAACCGGTATGTGGTATCGAACCGGTATCCCGGTACAATTTCTCCAGAATAAGCCACGAGGTTGGACTCGTGTCAATGTGTTCCAGTCGGCCTTGACGGGATGACGCCCCTCGCCTAAGTTCTGTCGGGGAATAAAACACATGGAGTAAAATTTATCCCTAGATATTGGTCGGTATGACGGGTCGACTATGTCCAGGATCAGATCACCAGGGATGGTAGACAGAACGATATCGTACAAGCATAAAAATACTCTGAACCAACAAGGCGAGGTGAAAGTCGAGGAAATCGTATAATAGTCAAAGTGTCAAGCCCCCGCGCCCCAGAGCCCCAGAAAATTGGGGCCGTTTTAGGAAGTTCAACCACTTGCTTCCATCAGATCCCCCCGGGGCTAGTCTTGCTCTGGATCTAGGTGGGGGAGGGCGATAGACGTCCTGTTTGTCCAGTGCCCAATGCATGCAGTGCTTGTCAAACGGAAGATGTGAGGTGAGAAAAGGGATTCGGTATTGCATCGAGGCATAAAAGGCAGGTCCCTCCCTTCTTGATTGATTATTTCGCTTCATCCTTGGCTTTTTCTCTCAACGCACCCAGGACTCTTCTTCCTCTTTATCCCATCCACTGCTTCCTGACTGGAATCCTCCTTGCTCATTTTATTCCACACTTTTCCATTTCTGGTCCACTGATATTCCCCTTCACTTGACTTTTGAGACTCTTATCTTTCTCCAAGATGGAGACAGACAAGACCGACAGGGTCACCCCAGCAGCTGAGGAGCTGGCTGTACCGACGAAGGATGAACCCATCACTCAGGCTGAGAAACAAGGTCTGGATTACGCGTACCAGTTAGTGTTACATTCGAAATACGGGATAAACGATAAACCCAGTGAACCGGCAGGACTGACTCCAAATAGCTCCAGCGACGATGATGGTGCCGAGAAGGGCCATGTTGAGCAAGTCAATTTGCAGAACAATGTATCCGCTAAGTATGTTCACGTCCCATATTCCTCATGCTAGCGAGAACCAATGAATTTCCAATCCTCGAA